CCCCCCCCCGGCAACCTGGCATGAAAACACATAATTAGTTCACAGTTTGACAGCCCTAAAAATCGTATTCACTGAAAACTTGCCATATGTTGGCATGATGTGCTGTGCATCCTTAAAAAACTAGACTAATGGAGGATAAGCAAAGAGACTTAAAGAGCTATTTACAGCAGATGGACACAATCTGAAAGTGTTCTTAAGATATGCTAAAAATAAAAAATCCAGCAAAGACCCGACTTGAAAGATGCATTTGACCCTGCATTTGATCCATATACTGTTTGCTGAAGCCTCATCAAAAAGGTGGCTGTCACTAAGCCATTGTTAAGAAAGGGAAACTGGGAGAAAAGACTAAGGTAATCCAGGGACCTGGCAATAGAAGAAGCAGTGCTATTAATAAAAACATGCCCTGTTTGTATTTTATTATAGAAAATACCAGTATAGACTATTTCAAAGTGTATATTAGCTCATTTGAAAATATGTTACTTTGTTCAGCAGGATTTTGTGTAATGTACACTGTCAAGATGCTGTTTAATAGATGTGACCACACTAGGGGTTTTTCCTGTATGGCCTTGGTAAACAAAATGTTGCATTTCATAAGCACTGGTCTGAATAAGTGGGGGAAAAATCTCCTAAGCAGCCAGATATATGCTCACTGGTCTCATTTTTAACAAAAGGGTGTGCAAACAGAAGGCTTGACCAAGCAGCAGAAGCAGGGAGAAAACCAAAGGAGAGTTTTCAGGTACTATGACTGCTTTCTGTTTCTTGATGAGGCTTTAAGAATATGACTAATTTGTATTTTGCGAAGTAGTTAAGATATTCATCGGGTTAGTTATTTATTTTTTCCTTTTCAAAAGTGGGCCTGTGTGTTTTAGGCTTTTCTGCTGGTGCTGCCGCACCAGATGGTAAGCAGTGTCATTAAAACCTGGGTGAGCTTTCAGGAAAAAGCCTGCAGAAACCCTGATATAACCTTTTATTTTTTCCTTACTTTGCAGACACTTCCACTTCAGTACCCAAATAAGGTTATCTTTTAAAGATATTGTAAAATTAAGTGTTTGTTGTACAATGTACTAGTCTTTTTTTAAAAGCTTTATCAGTTTCCGTTTTGCTTTTAGAGTTTTGGTTAGATACACTTGAATATTTTACTATCACATGAGTTACTTGGATGTAACTGTTAGATATAAAGGTTTTACCATGTAAAAAGCAAAAACTTTTCACACACATGTTTTTTAAACTTTTGAAAAGAAGGAATAGAAATTTTCATCCAGCTGCATACAGTTTTCATGCCACTAGATGGGGCTCTTTGCCTGTTCTTAACAACTCTCTTTGTATGACTATTCTGGTCCATAATATAGTTTCTTCCTAGTTTTGGAGAATTGGATTTACAGAATATTGAAATTTAATTCTCAAGTTGAATAATTGCAATCACTGATTCAGCATTGTGTTTAAAAGCTAAATTAGCAGTGACATTAACATTACTAAAGCATAAAATATGCAGTATTGAACTTATAAAATATACCAGTGTGATTATTAACTGTGTAAATTTCCAGTCTGTGAAACTTTCAACAGAAAACACTCTAGTTTGCAATTTAGTGATGTGTGTATTGAGAGCATGAACACTAGTAAAATTTAAGATTTTTTTAAATCATTGACCTGCTGTGTTGACTTTTGGATGCTTGTGTGTTTGCTAAACTTTTAAAAGAGTTTATGATGTATTGTAATTTTGCTCCTCAGCTACAGGAAGTAAGTGACAACGAGTCATTAATGCACTGCACTTGTCACAGGTTGTACCACAGCCTCTAGCTGGGCAATAGCTGTCACTATTTATAATACTCCATGTCAGGCGGACCACCGTGTGTGTGTGTGTGTGTGTGTGTGTGTGTGTGTGTGTGTGTGTGTGTGTGTGTGTGTAAGCTGTCCGTCTCCCCTCAGAATTTTCCAGCAAAGAAGACTGGGAGCTCATTGGTGAGCTGGTTATCGTGCTTATCCACAGAGTACCTTCTCTGTTATTTATTTTTTTTAGTTACTTGCTGTTCATCGCGATCCTTTGTTTTTGCTTCTCTTGGATACACTGCATGTTTTAATGATATCTATCTAGCTGCTATTTTTAGAAGAGTGGAAAAACTTTTGTCCTTCGCTGACCTAGGCGCTCAGCTGGCTCAGCTGCAGCTGGTCTTCTGGCTTGCTAGCTGACATGCTAGCTACACTCTTTGATTTCCAATGCCCTCCTCTGTGGCCGCTTTTCCCTGTGCTGCCTACAGGAAGCTCCTTCCCTGGTTGCTAAGGCAACCGAGGACGATGGCCCCCAGCAGGAGTTGGGGAAGCCTTGGGCTGTCTTTCAACTCGGCGCTGTGCAGTGTGCCTGCTGACCCGCCGCTGACTGGGAGGAGGAGCCAACTTTGCAGAGGAGCTTCGCCTGGCCCAGTATGGGTCCTACCGTCCCGCTGTCCCACTGTGAGACAGAGCTCCAGCATCAGAGCTAGTGCTCCTTTCTCCCCCTGCTGGCCACTTCAATGCTCTGACCCACTGTGCTCGACTAGTAACAAGAGCACAGGCGGCAAGATGTCATCTTCTTCCTCCACCTCCTCCTCTAATGCTGCAAATGGACAAGGGAAGCCTAAGTCTAAATCCCCGATGCACAAGAGGGGGAGCCTGCAGAGCACCACCAGCCCTGGTGAGTGTGGGTGAAAGGGTGGGTTTGGGGGGTCCCAAAGAAGAAATGGGGGAACATCTTACGTGGATGTGGAGTCAGAAAATTACACATGTGCTTGTGCAATGGTATTTAAGAATTCATGCTGCTCACAAAGAGCAATGAGAGGGAAGTGGAGAATTCTGCAACTCTAGCTAGTTTTTTTCCGCCTGTAAATTGATTTGAAGCTTCCACCCATGTTGGATACGTTCAGCATGTGTGCTCTTCTGTGTGTAATACACCTCGCTGAATCGATTAACTGCAAAGAACATTTTCACAAAACTTCAGATGAAATTGATTATTTAACAATTGCTATTCTAGTTTTTTCAGTCGGACGATTACATAGTGTATGAAACATCAGAAAGTATTGACTAGCACACATGAATGGTTCTCGAAGCCAGATAACAGTGTAAAGTCCAGCAAGGTTGTGCAAAAGAAAAAAATAATAGTGTGTACTTTGATAAGAAGGTAAAGTTCAGGTTAAGTGTATCATTTGTCATAACGAGGCACCGATGAACAGCCTTTGCTTAACTTGTGAAGTTAATGTTTTGCAGATGAGTGTGACAGTGTAATGTGCATTTATTGTCCTCTTTTGCACAGTGAATATCGCTTTTTGTATACACATTTCTGACTGTCTGTGTATTATTGTCAGATTGTAAAGGATTGTGAGGAGTTTGTGGGCCTATTTACCCGACCACCTTGCACAGTTTCTGCTACAGTTTATCAGCTTTGCACAGAGCAGTGGTATCAGTTTATCTTTCAACTGCAACGCTCTCTCTCATTACAAGTTTCTGTTAGATTGTTCTCTCAGCATCCCAGATAAAAGAAAACAACACATTTAACATTTTGTGTGTGTGAGTGATGGAATAGACAAAAATTATTGTGCTTTTATGATTATCTTTGATTTTAATGTTAACTGCTCTTTCCAGTGAGAAACAATCAAGTTAGACCTGCAATTTATATGTGAAATGAATTGGTTCCTCAGGGTGCTGCACAGCACAAAAGTCGAGCATTTGGAGGGATGCAGCAGCAGATCCTGAGGAGTAACTCACGCTGACACACTCCTTACAGTATTTGCTGAGGACGCCTGTCTTTGGTGCAGTAATAAATAACTTATAGGTCTCTCCAGCCATGCAGTCATTCAAGTCCTCTCAATTAGCCGCTTGGCTGAGCCTTGTGCTCTCCCAGTCTGATAATATGGTCCATTATGGTCCATCTGACTACATTTTTATTTTTGCCTCTAAACGACTGTTCTCAAAGTCAGGTCATGGACTGAAGCTCAATATTTGCATTGTTTCTTCTTGTAACCTCAGCAGAAATAGTTCTCTTATCACATTTTCCCCTCTCACCAAACACATCTCTCCAGCACTGATGCACCCCTGCATACTTGAAACAGTTCTCTTATGCAATGGTTTGAGTGGATTTGCTGGTGTAAACATTGATTAACCAACCAGCTTCCTGGAGGAAACTGCCTCTGCCTGTAGGCTCCGCAGCTCTCCCACTGGACTCTGGCATAAAGCAGAATATGTAATGCCCAGTTCTATGACGTGATATGTGGAGGTTATTAAAGTGTCTGCCAGAGCAGTGCAGGGAATTCCTCTCACCAGTTTGGATCAGCGCTCTTCTTCCTGTATGCAGCCTTCTATCTTTATTTTTGGCTCTAACTTCATACAGGCTTTTGCACATTTTACCTGCAGGCTGTCTGGTTGTCTAGCTTGATGCTTTTGTCGAGGCAGTTATTTTTGTCTCTTGTATGTATGATTGTTTGTCAGCTCAGCATTTCATAGGTGTGGGGATTGCTGTCTTGTTACCTGGATTTAACATTAATTTTGTGCCATCTATATAATACTGGATAATGTATTTCTAGTACCCATTTATGTCAGTTCTTTTAATTATTCTAAAAGATATGTTTGTTTGTTTTTAAATTGCACTGTACCCTCGAACCCCCCCAAAATACTGTATCGGTTATTAATGGGTGGCCACTGGCCTGCGGGCACCACATTAATCTGTATCTTTTATACTCTCTACACATCCTGCTGCATGCTGCAGTTGGATGGTTACCGTATTTCCTCCAAGACTCTGGCTGTCTCCTGTTCTGGTTCATTATTAAGCAGATATACTGCTTGTGTCACAGCATGTCTCTTGTGCATCTGTCTTCAATTTATGTGTATTCTTACCCCAGGTCACGTGAGCTCTGTGCCGTTACCCCTGAGGGGATTTGCTGTAGTCCTTACTGAATCATTATCATATCTACTCGTCTCCCTGTGGACTTTAACCCAGCTGACTGAAAAGCACCGTGCCTGTTCACCTCTTCTCACTCCCACGCTCTGGCCCTGCAGTAGACAGAAACACGTGACAAGCAAATACTGGGAGAAAACCAGAAGTTGTGTTTTGATCTCCTATTGAAAAGTTGTCAGTGTAACATGTCAAAGGAGCTTGCAAAGAAAACTACGATGACCTGGATGACTGAGAACCTTCACAGACATATGTCAGTGTAACATGTTTTTCAATGTCACTCCTACAATGAATACGCTGAATAGCTTCAATTTAAAGTGAATTTGTTTAGAAAAAAACAGATTATTTTTATTCCGTTTTTGCTCTACACTTTAATATTCAATATTAAAAATGTTTCTTTGCTTTTCTTTTTAACCACTAGAGGGAGGCTTGGGAAAATACAAGGCAGCCCATCGGTTTGAAACAAGCAGCTGGTTGTTAGGGTCTCCGGTCTGTGGCTGTGCTGCCCTCAGACATGACTGAGGACCACTTTGCTCTGTGTTTGGTGGAAAATTCCAGGGCTTTCTTTTGCTATGAATAGCTCAGCTGCTTCCCGTGTTAGAAAGGGAGCGTCTCAGTCCTGGAAAAGGGATTTTGGAGAGGTAGGAAGTGAGGCCTTGAAAACTGTCACACCAACAGGTGGGCCTGTCGCTATCTGGTAACAACAGGCCCACCTGTTGTTACCAGATAGCGACTGATATCATAATATCTGTCCAGGCAACCCACTCCACTCACACAGACACACACACAGACACACACAACCCCGTTCAGCTATCTTAGTGAGAACCTTCATTGACATAATGGTTACCCTAACCCTAACCATTAAAAATGAATGCCTAACCCTTACCCTAAACCTCACCATAACCTAATTGTAACCCTGACACTAAAACCACATTTTCAGCCTCAAAAAGGCCTTCAAACTTGTGAGGACACACTCACTGGTCCTCACAAGTGACTGCTGGTTCTCACAAGTATAGTAGAATGCAAATTTCGGTCCTCACAAAGATAGCTAGACAGGAACAGACACACACTCACATAGAAACACACAGAAGATTGGTTTGTTTCCACTCTACCATTTCTCACTCGGGTGCTCTGCTGGCTGACAGGCTGTACAGATGGTTATGATGGGTTGTATTTCAGTGCTTAAGTACAGTTAAGCATGCTACTTTGGTCTGTCTCTGCTCTTGTCGTGGCTTCCAATGAAGATCCATTTTCATTTAATCCACCTCATTCGATCACACATGAAGCAGCATCAGCTGATGTTTCAGTCCTTCACTGACTTCTTATTGTGTTTTGACCTCAGTGACTCATTGAATCTCTCACCCACCCCCTCCTGTTCATTTGATGATTCTCCAGATCATGTTCTAAACTTTAATTAGGAATATACTCTCACACTTGCAACTCCACACTGATGTTTCTCACATTCCAGTTCGTTGGTCGTCTCACACATAGAAAAGTCGTTTGTTCAGTCTGACAGCTGGCCAGTTTTCCACATTTCTGATATCTTCATGTTAAACTATTCATCTTTAGTTGATGTCAGAACATATAATAGGAACTTTTTCCTTTTTTTGTTATATTCTTATCACACCGCAACTCGTTCTTGCTTCGAAAAAATAGATTCCGCTATACAGCCTGAGTCAGGTTAGTCGCAGTTGTTTTAGTTTGCAACCATTAGTTGATACAGTAAAGAAATATTAGTCATTAAAGCAAACAGTGCACAATTGGCCAGAGTTTAATCTTTAATCAAACTGCTGTATTTATAACATCCTTTTGTGGAAGCTCTGCCAGCAACACAAGACACTAAATCACAGCTAGAATTGCGAGTTTTCAACAGTGCGCAATTCATTCACTCCAAAGCAAAGAGAGCAGTCAATGTGCATGGAAACAGATCAAAAGCTTTCTTGCTTAGCCATGGCAGGGAAGCAGTAGTCCCTTTATTGTCTCTGGCTTTGATACTTCACACAGTTTTTGTCTCAGGGTTGGAATTGTGAGCTCTTGATGTCCGAGCAGCGCTAACTGCAGAGGGTTATATGTTGACACTATCAAATGACACAGTGTTCCTTTTAGATATTTCGATATGGTGAGAAGTGCACTGACAGCGGTGACAACAACAACTGTGGTCTGGATAATCACAGAGGGTCAAACTGAATGGTGTGAATACGTGTGCCTTTTTTGGTGTGTGACTATTAGTGTTTACATGTGCTGCTGTGGGTATGCAACATGTTTTGTGCACAGTTCGGTGTCTCAGGCTCCAGAGAGAACTTATTGTTTTGAGAAGATTCCCATTGGACGGGGGGGATGGGATACAAAAACAGCAGCGCAAATGCTGGGAAGCAATTTTATTTGCATGTTCACCCTCTTTCATTCACACGGGAATGCTTGTGCAATTGTGTCAGCTCTCTTTTTCTTCAGGGAGAAAGGGAGTGAAAAATAATGCACAGCGACTCCCCTGTGCTGTTAATTAGTCTCCAGGGAAAGAGATTTGCAGAACACAACAGATGATGTAACTGCAGAAAAACTCAAGCTGGGGCTGAAAAAGAAAACATACCTCAGTGCTTGTGAGAAATGTGACTTAACAAAAACCACTGGACATATAGTATGTCTGAATTTAATTCACACAAGGCTGTAGGTGGTTTCAGCCAGCAAGCCTCTTAAATGATTCTGTTGTAGTAACACAATCAGTGGCAGAACACATTGCCATTTGTTGTTTA